TGTGGCTCAAGCATCTCTTTTCATATGTGCTTCTGGCAAAGAAATATAAATGATTGAAACATGAATGATGTGGTATCAATGATGCACAAATCCAATTGTATACAAGGGGAACAAGACATCCAGAATGTAAAGATCAGCATTTTGATAAAGATAAAAGTGGCCCTTGAAACAAATGGATATGAGGGGGGGAATGATTGCAGAAAAAAAGTTTTGTATAAATAAGTATTAGAATAATTTTACATAGGAAAAGAGAATAGCAATAGCATTTGATTTATATACCACTTCATAGTGCTTTCCAGCCCTCTCTAAGTGGTTTACAGAGTCAGCATATTGCCCCCAACAATCTGGGTCCTCATTTTACCGACCTCGGAAGGATGGAAGGCTGAGTCAACCTTGAACCTGATGAGATTTGATCTGCCAAACTGTTGGCAGCAGGTGATTAGCAGAAGTAGCCTACAGTACTGCACTCTAACCACTGCACCTCTGCAGCTCTTATATAGAAGTTGTATAGTTATATAGAAGTTATATAGAAGTTGCTTTAAATAGAATGAAGAATAATAGTTTACAGAGTACCACAGAAATGTGTGGAATTACACTAGTTGAAGCATGAAAAAGGATGCCATGTGGAATGATAAAGCTTCCAAAATGTGAATGGAAATTAAAACAAAAGTTATGAAATTATTTGAAATTAAATTATAGAGAAGAAATGCTAGAGCAAGTATTTTGGAGTTTGATATGGCAATGAAATGACATGTCAAAGGCAAAATTGAAACATATGCTACAAATGTTAAATAGCCAAGAAAAAATTATGAAAAGGAAGTCATAAATTATTTTCTAATATTCCCCACCTACAATAACCTCTAATACTGAAAATAGATCAGCACTATGATAATTATCAAATGAGAAGGCTACAGGAATTAATGGAATACTGTATCTACAGAAATATAGCAAGTAACAGAAATGTCTGTAAATGTTTTCATCTATTTATGCCATCAAATTTGAAGGACAATGCAGTGCCCAATATATTGGAGTGGATAAACAACTGTACAGTATCTTTAACTTCATGTGCTAGCAAAATAATACTTAGGATCATCCAATGCAGATTAGAGCTGTACAAAGGTTGTTTAAGGAGACGGCAAAAGTTCAATCTGGCTTTAGAAAAAGCTAAGAAACATCGGAATTATTGTTATGGCACTAATAGTAATTAACAGTAATTTAATAAACAGTAATTTTAAAAAACAAGAATAAAAGAAATTAAGTGTTGATTAAAGAAAGACTTCAGCTTGTAGCGATCCTGTCAAACTGATGAATGTGCTTAGTAAAACAGGAATTCCCAAAACATGTCATTGTCCTCAGGTAAAGTGTATACACGTGGGAAGCCAGACAGAACTCTGCTCCAATGCAGAGGTTGATTGTTTAATGCCATGTAAATTCCATAACATGGAAGTAAAGCATATGTGAGAATACATGGACAAATGACTAAACAAATCAGTACTAAGCAGGAAGCAAGATAACAACAGTACATGATGTCTCCTTAGGTGTTGTGCAATGCTTATATGGGTACATACAAGGAATGCTTTTGATGAATTTAAGAATTTGGATGATGCGGCTAATGGTATCTGTACACTTTTGTAAACAGATAGTACCTTTTTGTTAGCTGAGAACTTAAATGATTTGCAGCAAACGCTAGATAGATTGCATGATGCCATGAGGAGTATGTACCTGAAAATTAATCAAAGATTGTTGTTCATGCTTATTTCTGGAATATATCTCAAACTATAAACCTAGTACATGAGCGTAACTTGCCAGCCTTCCACCCTCAAACCTTTGTCTCTAAAATACAGACATTAGCATTATTGTGTCCATTACAGTGAGGGAATGAATGAGATGTACATACCAGTTAGGATGTCTACTATGGATTATTTAATTGATTACCTTCTTTCAGGAGTGGGTTTTACTTAACTTTTCTACCGGTTCGCAATGTGGCCATGCGTGCGCATGCACACTTCTGCACATGCGCAGAAGCTTCTGCACATGCGCAGATCACCCATGATGATGTTGTGGCGGGTGGGCAGAGCCTCCCACCAGTTTTACTACCGATTCTATAGAACCAGACCGAACCGGGAGCAACCCACCACTGCCTTCTTTTCTATCAAGTTTCCCTACCCAACTCTGCACCTCTGTGCAACAGTATAATTTTTGCTAGATATTTCACACAATGTCAAAAGGCTGTGAGTCCAAGTGAGGGGGGGGGGAGGTTAATGGGAGAGAAACTGGACGTGCAGCCAGCTGATAGTGAGTTGGCTGGAGTGCAGCTGCAGCAGGACAGCCCTGAGGCTTCAGGTGGGGAAAGCACGCAGCTGCAGCCAGTCAGTTATGAAGAGGAGGAACTGCCTTCTGCACCTGATCCGAGACCATGAAGGGAAGTTTTTCTTCCACATTCAGACAACTTGGAAATGGAATTGCTTATGTTGTGTAACAGTAGAAAACAGCACTTAGCTTTATTGTGTAAGGGTGTTTGTAATCAATTACATAATGTGATATGTTTCCAGGGCATGTGATATAGCTTTCGGTATCACAAGAATTCGCAAGTATTAAATTATTACTGTCTACCAACTTTAGATCAGTTCTCAATTTTTTTTCCTCTTTTCTACAGTTACCTACAAAAGTGAAATGTATCGCTTTACTTTAAATAAGTAGATATACAATTGAAAGTGAATAGGTCAGCATGCAACTTATAAAGCCATTTTAAAATATATCATAAAAGTCCAAAATGCAATAACAAGATACATTGCTACAGGAAACAAAAATAGCTGAAAATAATCAGAGTCAGTCCACATTAAAAAAAAACAACCCAAAACATCCATTTGACAATAAAATTACTTTAATAAGCAATAAAAAGAGGATTTGCTTGGTTATTGTTTATTTGGCTTTGTTTCTTTTTTATTTGTTCATTTTAATTTCTTCCAAGCTAATATGGAATATCATAAATGTGACATTTTTAGAATGTCATAAATAAATCTTTCTTGACAGAGAATTCCATTCTCACACTGCAGAGAAGGCTTTCTATTGCATTTGGGTCAGTTTTGTGTCTGTCACTTCTGAGTCACAGAAAAATTTCTGGAGCTTGAACAACAAAAAAAGGAAGCTGAGCAGTGCATTTGGAGAATTAAAATAGATTGAATGTCACATTTAGCACCTCTAATGGCAAAAGGAAGCGAAAGCCTATTTTTCTTTTAAACTTGTAAACATGACATGACCAAGTCTGGTTCCCCACATTATCTTGTTAGGAACTATATTCCTGCCTATAACAAAGCTCCTTTCAGCCTTTTGTGACAAATAGAAAGAAATATTACTTATCTGGGATGGGATGAAATTGACAAAAGGAAATGGAGATTGAGCCCATGAAATTGGTGGAGGCAGACCTGAAAAGCAACAGTCACTCAGCAAAGCTGCAGAGGCTCCAGTCCATAGCCTAATCTCATCAAAGTTCCACTCTTTGGTCTGAAGAACCATACCAAGTGCTATTTCCTGTGCTGCTGCTGCTTCAAAAAAAAAATGGCTTCTCTTACATAGACAAAGAATAACCTGGTTCCCTTCCTATGGTTTCAACATCCTAACAGAAAGTTAGAGTCCTAGAATTTCCAGCTCCACAATTCAAAATTCCTAGGAAGAACTTACATTTTTATTGTATTCTGTCCCTCTTTTCTGTAAAATGGAACCCAACAATTTTTATTTCAAAAAAATGTATGCTCTTTCCTTAGATCAGCGGTGTCAAACTTGTGACAGCATGTCATCACGTGATGTATCGCACCTTTCCCCCCCTTCGCTAAAATGGGGGTGGGGGTGACCAGCACGTGATGTATTTGGCCCATGGGCCACGAGTTTGACAACACTGCCTTAGATCCTTAGAATTATGATCCTTAAAATTATGCTCCAATTTCCACAATACCTCTTTCACAAATCACGGTAGTATTTTAGCAACATTTGATCATATAACTTATTTTTAATCATAGACTGCAGAAGAATATAGAGCTATTTCAACTAATCACAAGAGTGTTTGATCAGTTTGGCTTTCAGATTAATAATCTATCCATGCAAATGTCATCTTTCAAACAGGAAACCCTGCTCCTTTTGTGAAACTGCCATTACTCCTAGTACTATAGTCCTTGTATCAGTTTTCTTGACTACTAATATATTAAGGCAAATTTATATAATTTTATAGTGTTTATTTCCATATGACTACATAAATTAGGGTGGATACTTCTATGGATAAGAAGGGAGGAAAATATTGTAGCATAATTATTCTTCCACTTTGATATGTGAGCTGGAAAACACAGATGATATTCTTTTACCCAATTGGTTTAGAATAGCTACTCATATAGTAATAGACAATTGAGGCATGCTTGCTACATCATTTGTACAAAAGTCATAATAGAAGTCTTATTTAAAACCTGTTCCTTCAAAAAAATCACCAAAATAGCAGTCATTCCTACTCCCAATTTTTTAAAATGTAAAAAATAAAATAAACAATTGAGGTGATATGTATGTACTATAATTGTTTACTGTGTTAGGCATGTCAGAACATAACTCTGTCTAAGAAGCTGCTCTTTGTCTCATGTCTCATTATTTTTTAAAAAGCAAAAATGCTCTCATATTTATGTTGTTTCAGAATTCAGATTTTTTTTAAAAAAAATGCTACTAAATGTATATATAATTCTGGTGATGCTATAGAACTGGGATTCCTACATCAATATACAACTGAGTGGAAAAATAAATTTTCTTTGGTTTAATATCATCTGTAATTCTATTTCCTGTGGAATTCCGCATTCAGAGAATAACAAATTACTTGTACCCACCAGGTATCTCAATCTGGATGCAGCATTTCCATAACAGGATAGTAACTCTATGGTGAAACAAATTTACATCTGGATCTTCTGTGTATTACTGAAAAAGTTAGTTAAAATCAATCTAACTTCTTTCTTTTCTTTTCTTTCTAGTCCATGAGTTTAATTGAGATTGGCAATCCTTCTCAAAGTTTAGAGAATGTGTGTCGTTGGGCCTATCTACAACAAAAACCTGATACTGGACATGCAGAATATCATGACCATGCAATTTTTCTCACAAGGCAGGACTTTGGACCTTCTGGAATGCAAGGTGAGTAACTTACTACCAATCACCCTATCTAACTTGTACTGTTAACCAGGCCATTCAGTGAAAAACAAATCTAAATTATTAATGCTTTGCTACTGAGCACAGATGGATAAATGACATTCTATAGAACCTATGCAGGCCTCCACTATTTTCTCACTGAGCTCCTGGATTTTCTATGCTGAACCCACTCAACCATTCAGCCAAAGAGCCATGCATTGACTCTCTGAGACATACTATGGTTTGTCCTTCTCCACACCAGCAGCTAAAACCTTTGAAGGCTAAAATACTATTGGCTGTCACCAACATAATCTGATCTTTTAAATGGCCTCTCTTTCCTAGGTCTCATGTTTAGGGAGAAAGAATAGAATAGAATAACAGAGTTTAATAGAGTTAAACAAGGACTACTTGAAGAAGAGTTCCCTAATTAATATTATAAAGACTATGACATTTTAGCTTTTTCTTAATCTGTTGGTAGCAGTTGAACAGAATAGAATAACAGAGTTGGAAGGGACCTTGGAGGTCTTCTAGTCCAACCCTCTGCTTAGGCAGGAAACCCTACACCACTTCAGACAAATGGTTATCCAACATCTTCTTAAAAACTTCCAGTGTTGGGGCATTCACAACTTCTGGAGGCAAGTTGTTCCACTGATTTGTTCCACAAATTGTTCTAACTGTCAGGAAATTTCTCCTTAGTTCTAAGTTGCTTCTCTCCTTGATTAGTTTCCATCCATTGCTTCTTGTCCTACCCTCAGGTGCTTTGGAGAATAGCTTGACTCCCTCTTCTTTGTGGCAGCCCCTGAGATATTGGAACACTGCTATCATGTCTCCCCTAGTCTTTCTCTTCATTAAACTAGACATACCCAGTTCCTACAACTGTTCTTCATATGTTTTAGCCTCCAGGCCCCTAATCATCTTTGTTGCTCTTCTCTGCACTCTTTCTAGAGTCTCCACATCTTTTTTACATCATGGCGACCAAAACTGGATGCAGTATTCCAAGTGTGGCCTTACCAAGGCATTATAAAGTGGTATTAATCAGGAGTGAAATCCTACCGGTTCGAATTAGTTTGGCCGAACCAGTTGCGGCAGTGGCAGGTGGTTCAGAAAACTGGTAGCGGCAGCAGCATGAGTCTCCATCCACCCCGCCTGGACATTGTTACTTCCTGGTTTTAACCAGGAAGTAACCTGTTTTTTACCCTCTGTGCATGCGCAGAAGGCATTGCACATGCGCAGTGGGTCCAAAATCGCATGTGAGGCACACTTCCAAATCGCTGGGAAGGTAAATAGATTTCACCCCTGGTATTAGCACTTCACGTGATCTTGATTCTATCCCTCTGTTTATGCAGCTTAGAACTGTGTTGGCTTTTTTGGCAGCTGCTGCACACTGCTGGCTCATATTTAAATGGTTGTCCACTAGGATTCCAAGATCCCTCTCACAGTTACTACTATTGAGCAAGGTACCACATATAGTGTGCCTGTGCATTTTGTTTTTCTTGCCTAAATGTAGAACCTTATTTTTTTCATCATTGAATTTCATTTTATTAGATAGCGCCCAATGTTCAAGTCTGTCAAGATCCTTCTGTATCTTGAGCCTATCTTCTGGAGTGTTGGCTATTCCTGCCAGCTTGGTGTCATCTGCAAATTTGATGAGTTCCCCATCTATCCCCTTGTCCAAGTCATTGATGAAGATGTTGAAGAGTACTGGGCCTAAAACAGAGCCTTGGGGTACCCCACTGCATACTTCCCCCCAATTCCATTGAGGACTACACATTGAGTTCAGTTGGTCAGCCACTTACGAAACCATCTGGTGGTGTTGCTGTCTAGTAGTTTAAACAGAGATAGTTTAATAGATAGTTTAAACAGCTAAAGAATGGTTTGCCTACCTCAGCCATTTTAACATGGGCACCCTCTCAAATTTTTTGCAGTGAGCATGTTGAGTGGGGAATTCTCGGAGTTGACTTCTGCATCCAAAGGATGCCAAGTTGGAGGGGGGTGTCTTATGTGAATATGCTATGAAGGCCCACTAACTAATCTATCAGCTCAGAAAGTACTAGAAGGCAGGATAATATGTGTTCCTCCCCACTCCTTAGAAGGAATATTCAGCCCATATCTGTTTCTCTGTAATTGGCCTGTGTCAAGTTGTTTCAGATTTATTCTTCAGTGTTCAGGGATTTCTAAACATTTTTCTTCTTAACAAAGCCAAAGTAATCTTGCAAGTTAATATCCTTGCCAAATGCAGTGCAACTACTTTGGGACACAGATCTTAAATGTTTTAGTTGGAAAGCATAGTAATTTCTTGAAATGTATTTCTGAACTGAAGAACATATTTCATTTACAAGATTTTTTTTTAGCAGTGCTATGATGCCCACATATTTCACAAGGAATATAAAAACAAAAGGAAATAAAACACCATGACTGAAAACTACAATTCAATCCTTTCTTCTCCAGCTAAATTCATGGTCGGCTCAGTTGGTTAAAAGTTAGCAGGGAATTCATTCATAATTAAGTGCTGGGCAATCTGCTGGTTCAATTTCAGTTACCTTTTTTAAATACTTAATTTATATGAAAGTTTTTAAGAACAATAATAAGAACAAGAACTGCAAAAAAAATTGAACAGAAAGAGTGAAAAGGAAATAAAGAAATAATAGAAAAAAGCAAGATATAAAGGCATAAAGAAGAGGCTTCTGATTCTTCACAGCAGCTATAAATATAATTAGATAATTAGATCTGGCCCACGGGGCTGCCCTGGGAAAATGAAAGGGCAACACGCATCCCCGCTGAACTCCATTGTTGCTGGCAGAGGGCTGCAGGAGGAAGAAGAAAGGAAAAGGAAAAGGGAAGGAAAAAGAGAAAAGGAAGGAAGGAAGGAAGGAAGGAAGGAAGGAAGGAAGGAAATTATGTTTATAATGAGAGTGAGGGAGGGTCTGAGGGAAGTCCTGCCTTAGCACTTGGCCACTACAGATGCCCCCAACACGAGTGACTTTGAACTGGCCATGCCCACCCTGGCCACACCCAGCTTGGCCCCCGAGGTCAAGCACAACTCAGATATGGCCCTCAATGAAATCGAGTTTGACACTCCTGGTCTAAAGCTATAACTCTCTTCTTTATATAATCTATCTAATTACAAATTCATTTCTTTTCTTTTTATGCAAAAAAAATCTAAGGGTTTTTAGTCACAAATAAATGTGGATATTGCCTTTTCTCTGTTGTTGTTTCAGTTACCTAAGTTGTGTTCAAAATTGTGTGTATTTCCCTGAATGCATATTGCACTCACCTAGTACTGTAAAGTCTACAGATTTAATTTCACTCACAAGTTTTTGTTTTCTTGGAAGTGATTGTGTAACTTAGTTGCATAAGGATGATTAGATCACTCGATTCTCGTAAAGGTCTGCAGCATCTACAGGTTTTATTTTATTCCTGAAAATAAGGAATTCGCTTCATTCTGCTGATTTACATAAGTGGGTGGTTGCTTGAGTGATGTAAAGTTTATACTCTGGTTGCTGAACAGTGCTGGAGTTGGAAGCAAATTAACAATCATCATGATAATAGTAGTAATAGTAACTGCTGAAGAAAAGATTGGGATTATATTAATGAGTAATTTAGTACTGATGCACATCTTTAGGTGAGGAACCGAATTATTATTATTCAATGAATAAGATTTCTTTGGAAGAATGTGGATTAGTTGGAAGGACAACAGATTAGGAAGATTTTCTAGCTACAGAGAGATCCTTCAGTCCATAGAAGCTTTTCAGTATTATTCCTGCTCAGATAAGCAGGAACTAAAGAGATCAGAGAACAGAATATTCCAAATTCTGTTTGGAACAGAATATTCCAAAGAAGACTTCCCTGTAGTGACTGAAATGTCAGTCACTAAATTCTGTTTTTTGTCCATGTCCAAGGTCCCACCTTGGCATTTTCCATATTTTTTTTTTATTTGATTTATATGCCACCCTTCTCCGGAGACTCAGGGCGGCTTACAATGCGTTAAGCAATATTAGGATGGTGAAGCTTTTTAAGGTGCTTTTTATGACATTCTATATCACTGGTACAACTTTCTATTGTTTATTCTGAATAGGGTCCTGATACACTTCAGCAGTGAACCTCTCCAAAAAAGTTTTGATTTGGGAAAATCTGATGCACATTCCTAATTGCTGATTAGGTGCCATTTTGTACACACTCATTTTATAGCCATTGCATCTTATTTCCTATTACATTTCAACCGTACACATTTCTTCCTAAAATATTTGTGGTGTCAGTTTTGGAAGACAATTTTCTTTTTTGCTTCTTAACTGCCACATATTTTAGCTGGGGAAGTTGGGAGGGGGTTGTTGCTGGAGTGGTAGAAAGTTAGTAATAACAACATTCCGTATTCAAGGACTTTTGCCTGCATCTGATGAAGACTGCCAGAAGATTGTACCCAGCTGAGTGTGAAGAGTTGATTGGACAATGTGATTAACTTGTGGGCGTGGGGCAGGGCTGTGAACTGTTAGCTGGGTGGAGAAACTCTGGAAGCTTTCAGATTCAGGTTTTCCCAGATGTGCCAACATGACATCTCTAATAAATTGGAACTTTGAGGAATCTCAGGCCTCAGAGCTTTATTTCGTTGGGGGTATTCTTGGAACCCTGATATGTGGTTTTATCATGTGTGGTAAAATACTTTTATATAAACTCTCTCTAAAACATATCTTTGGTAAAGATTTTTCATAAAAAGCTCATCTTATTTACGTGTTGGTATTTTTTAAAAAAGCATAACTTTCTACATTTTCTCTCCATTTAAGAGCACAGCACCATTCATTGTAATGAATTTCACTTTTCCTTTTGCTTTCCTTTTTATTTAGGTAAGACTTCTGTTGCAAGATCACTTGGAAACTGGTGCTCTTAAATAGTTATTTGAGCTTAATTTTCTTTTTCTTCATTACAGTCTTAATCTTCTCCTTAACAGGCTATGCTCCAGTTACTGGCATGTGTCACCCAGTCCGAAGCTGTACACTTAATCATGAAGATGGCTTTTCCTCAGCATTTGTTGTAGCCCATGAAACTGGACATGTGTAAGTAGCACTTCCATATAGTTGTCATGGTACTGCAAATTATATGTTTGGTGGGATATGATTTCAGTCATTTCAGTGGAGAGAGCTTATAAGCAAAAGGATGCAGTTGCAGATTAGTTTATTTCATTTATTCAGGGAGTCTTCTTCAGGAATAAAAAAAATTGATTCACAGAATCTTAGAATATATGAATTGGAATGGAACTTAAATATTATCAAGGCCCAACCCTGCTCAGTTCAGGAATTCACTAAATTGTCTACAACAGGTGACCATCTCTCCCTTGTTTGAAAACCCCCGCTATTAAAGAGTCCATAACTCCTGCCCTCACTATGTTATAATTTAGGTATAAAATACCTAATTATAAAATAATTATAAAATGTTGTTGTTAGTTGTGAAGTCGTGTCCAACCCATTGCGACCCCGTGGACAACGTTGCTCCAGGCTTTCTTGTCCTCTACCATCCTCTGGAGTCAATTTAAGCTCACGCCAACTGCTTCACTGACTCCATCCAGCCACCTCGTTCTCTGTTGTCCTTTTCTTCTTTTGCCCTCAATCTTTCCCAGCATTAGGCTCTTCTCCAGTGAGTCCTTCCTTCTCATTAGGTGGCCAAAGTATTTGAGTTTCATCTTCAGGATCTGGCCTTCTAAAGAGCAGTCAGGGTTGATCTCGTCTAGGACTGACCAGTTTGATTGCCTTGCAGTCCAAGGAACTCGCAGGAGTCTTCTCCAGCACCATAGTTCAAAGGCCTCAATTCTTTGGTGCTCAGCCTTTCTTATGGTGCAGCTTTCACAGCCCTACATTGCAACTGGGAACACCATATTCTGAATTATAAATACCAAATTATAAATACCTAATTTTATAATCTGCCACTTTTCTTCATTTCTTCTTCATTATTTATGTATTCAGTTTAATCCCATTACATTTTAGTAAATTGATTTTTAAATAGCCTCTCTAATCAGATCACGGTCATTATCCATGGCAGTACAGCTTGTGTTTGAAACAGGGTTTAAAACCCTTATTGCTCTTCTTCTTACTTCTAAGTATATCTAAGTAGGGAGAGGTCTATACATCAGATTTGAATAGATTCTTATATAGATGCAAATTATTTCCGCCCTGAAGTTCAGTAACTTTGCCCAGCCACATGGATAAGTTGATGATAGGATTCCCTTGGGGACCCTCCTCATGTGCACTGAGGGCGAAGGAAGGAACTCTTTTCCACAGTCTTATGAAAATAACTGCCCAGCCTTTGCAGACTTTTTCATGTTTTGAATTCTTCTCTAGCCAACAGTAGCATTATAAAATATTTTATGTTGAGAAAGGAAGAGAGTGGAGATAAACCCTGCATTGCTGGAACAAATATGTAGAAAATAGTTGTAATTGTTTTTCTCTTTCCCAGAAAGACACAGAGTCACCAGTGCACAAGGGAAAAAGGAGGGGAATGACTCCATCTCCTCCGTCATATTCCTGATGTTTGTTTTCTGTTTGGGAAGATGAAGATTTGCAGCAGGGCATAGTCTCTCTCCCTGTGAAGGCTCCCAAGCTATTTTTTTTTATTGTTATTATTCTGGAAAAGAAGGGATCTAAATCAGTGTTTTCAAACTTGACAACTTATGATGTGTGGACTTTAATTCCCAGAGTTTCCCAACTAACTTTTAAGAGCTGTCAAATTGGAAAAACATTGATCTAAATAGAGATGGAAGCCTCCACAAACTGACCCTTGCTGCAGAAATTGACTTCTGGTCGTCATTGGTTGCCATGAAAGAAAAGGAGAGCCACTGACTCAACCTATTTTCCCCCTTGTTTAAAAATAAGGAGAGTAGACTGCCTAGTAGCAGTGGTGCTATTCAGCTAGTTCTATCCAGTTCGGGCGAATCGGTAGCAGCGGCTGTGGGTGGCTTCTCCTACCGGATGTAATCAAGTCCCATTTATCCACATTTTTGACACTCTGCGCATGCGTGGAAGGCCCTGTGCATGCATAGAGGTGGCATGTGTGAGTGAAGCAAGCGTGCGCACGCTCACATTTGCGAACCAGTAGCGAAGGTAAGCGAATACCACCCCTGCCTAGTAGGATACTAGTAAAGCTGCCAAGCTTCCCTCCACACACTGATGCTGTCCTCATGTAAAGGGTAGACCGCAATGGTCAGAGAGTTGTCTTTAGAACAGGCCTGTACTTGTATGCATAAGATTAACCCCAATTTGTGGCAAAGTGGCAGGATTTTTAAAGCTTTGTAATTATTCTTTATGCAAAAAAGTGGAAGTTTAAGCACTAAGAGGTAAGGAGTTGACTCACTCTGGTAGATCAGATGTTTTGCAAGAATTGTATACAGGTAGTCCTCGACTTACAACAGTTCGTTTACTGACTATTCAAAGTTACAACAGCACTGAAAAAATGTGGCTTATGACTGTTTTCCTTAGTTACAAACTTTGCAGCATCCCCATGATCACGTGATCAAAAGTCAGGTTCATATTTATGACCTTTGCTGTGCCCCATGTCATGTGACCCCCTTTTGCGACCTTCTGACAAGCAAAGTCAATGGGGAAGCCAGATTCACTTACCAGGTTACTAACTTATCAACTGCAGGGATTCACTTAACAACTGTGGCAAGGAAAATTATAAAATGGGGCAAAGCTCACTTAACAAATGTCTCACTTAGCAACAACAAAATTGGGCTCAGTTGTGGTCGTAAGTCAAGGACTACCTGTATTTTGTTTGCTTGATATGGGAATAACTCATGGTCACAGGTTACAAAATTGCTTAACTTGCACAGTGTTTATCTGCACCGTTCTTAAAAATTTGAACCTGATGTTCTCAGGCAGGATTTTAGTGAACTTTAGGAGTTGCTTTTTTGTTTCCTGAATTGAAAAACCTTTAGTTTAGTTTAGTTTAGTTTAGTTTAGTTTAGTTTAGTTTAGTTTAGTTTAGTTTAGTTTAGTTTAGTTTAGTTTAGTTTAGTTTAGTTTAATGCGATTTATATGCCGCCCTATCTCCAATGGACTCAGGGCGGCTCACAACAGTAAAATGCACAATTGCACATTAAAACAATATAAAATTAAAAGTCCAATTTAAAACAATTTAAAATCAATTAGGAACCACCACCCCCACATCAGTCCAGGCTGCGAAACAGCCAGGTCTTCAAATCACGGCGGAACGAGTAAAGGTCAGGGGCCATCCAGAGCTCCAAAGGAAGTTGGTTCCAAAGGGTTCCAAAGTAGTGTTTCAAGAGGGTAAAAACTCCCAGAAATATATTTCTCCCAACACATTCTATTTAGTGGATAGTCAATGCTGTTTTTTATATTAAGCACTGATTGCTTCCTGTCCTTTTAAAAATCCTGATTTATTAGGATTCTTAAGATTGTACCTGTGCATGATTTGTTCCCTTTCTCCTCTAGCATTTGTAATTATTTATGACTGAAAAGTGAAGTAAACAGAACTAGGTCAAAAGGGAAATGTCATTTCCTGCATTACCACAGATGTCAGCAATGTTAGGGTGCAAGAATTTATCCCAAGGAGTCTCCATTAGAATTCACATTAAACTCTTAGTGCATGAGCCTCAACAAGGAATAAAATAGGCAGTGTTGGCACGTTATTAGATAAAGTTCTCTGCCATTTGGTCAAATGAGGTAGTGCTCCACACACATGAATGACAATCAGCTGAAGCATTCACACTCTGATTATGGGAAGCATAATAAAGGCATTGACCTTATTGACCAGCTGGCCAGCAGAGCATTTTTAAGGCTGCCCAACAAGCAAGATAAATTTATACCATTGCAATACTGTATAAAGGCAGAACAATAGTGGAGTAGATTGAATGATAATAGCAGTAAAAATAAATGGAGCACTAAAAGGCATAAGGGAGTTCTAAGGGGTTGCCAAAAAGAAGAGAGGGTCAACATATTCTCCGAAGCACCTGAAAGCAGAACAAGCAGTAGATGAAAACTAATCAAGGAGAGAAGCAGCCTAAAACTAAAGGAGAAATTTCTTGACAGTTAGAACAATTAATCAGTGGAACAACTTGCCTACAGAAGTTGTGACTACTCCAACACTGGACATTTTTAAGAAGAAATTGGACAACCATTTGTTTGAAATGGCATAAGGTTTCCTTCCTGAGGAGAGGGTTGGACTAAAAGATCCTTCCAACTCTGTTCTTATGTTATTCTGACATCTTCAAGCTACTCCTGCTTCAGGAGCCAGGACATCATAATACCATTGAAGCTAATATTCAAGGTGTAGACCTGGATGGCAGACCAGTGGGAACTCCCATCTTTGACCTGGATCAAAGTAAATTAAGCCACTTTTCAACAGTGTCCTGATGTACAGACTTCACAGCAGAAGCCATGCTGGCTACAGTAGGCAGGGGGTGATTGGGTGGTCCATATTTGGCAAAATCAGACTAAACCATGAACAAATGCATTGCAAGAAGAATAAACAGCTACTTTTATTAATTCTTTTAAAGCACTCCCCTTTGTTCTGACTTGCCTTCTTCTAGATTAGGCATGGAACATGATGGCCAAGGGAACCGATGTGGGGATGAAGTGCGGATGGGAAGTATAATGGCACCGCTGGTCCAGGCCGCATTCCATCGCTTCCATTGGTCTCGCTGCAGCCAACAGGAACTGAACCGATACCTGCAGTGAGTACAACGATGGAGAAGGATCAATTCTCAAGAGTCGTATGGCACCATTTCATTAGCTAGAAAGCGTGGTGCTGAATCAGAAAATTTTCCTGCTAGAAAAAGTTAAACAAATTAAATGAAATTTGTTGTCCCAGACTAATTTATTATGCTACGGTGGCGCAGTGGTTAGAGTGCAGTACTGCAGGCTACTTCTGCTGACTGCTGGCTGCCTGCAATTTGGCAGATCAAATCTCACCAGGCTCAAGGTTGACTCAGCCTTCCATTCTTCCAAGGTGGGTAAAATGAGGAACCAAATTGTTGAGGGCAATATGCTGACTCTGTAAACCGCTTAGAGAGGGCTGTAAAGCACTGTGAAGTGGTATATAAGTCTAAGTGCTATTGCTATTGCTAATTGCTCTGAATTAAGTAAGATTCACTTCTAAATAACCATTGGATTTCTTTGTAAGGAAGTACCAAGGCTATTTTGTAAGCAGTTACATCTTCTATTTTTTCAGAATAAGCTTCTTCTCAGTTCTGATTTTTTTAATCATTTTTTTTATTAGTTAAAACACATAGGAATAAATACATGTTTGTAAAATCTCTCCAGTCCCTTTAAAGTTACATTTATTAAATAAAAAAAACTCTGTTTGGGGTTTATGTTTTTAAGAAAGAACATTGGCAAAGAAAAGGGTCATTGATGAATAAAACTTTTCTCTGTGACAGCATGGTACCCATGAATGGCGTGCATGAGTTTTTAATGTTTTTAATGTTTTTAATTTTTAAATGTTTTTTTATAATGATTTTTTGGAATGTATTGTGAGCCGCCCTGAGTCTTCGGAGAGGAACGGCATATAAATTGAATTAATTAAACTAAATTAATTAAATTTCAAAGATAAAATAGGGATATGCCCTGAATACTATGAGTGGTAACGGATTCTTATAATTGCCATCTCTGTTTTTGTGATTTTAAGGAGGGGGTATCACTTTTGAGTTTACTTATCCAAGATTTGGATAATTCATCTTCTTAGATAACCAGATTGGTCCTTGTTACTAAACTCTTGCTTAAGTAACACATGTTAGCATAATTTGTGAAGCGAAAATGCAATTAGAATTATTTTTGTGGCATCAGATATGCTCCATTTGCCAAGCTTTTATCCTTATGTTTATTTTTTTCACTCTTATATTTCTGTTAGCAACATGTAAAAAAAAGAAAAGAAATGAGAATCACACCATAAAACTGAAAAAAGGTTACAGACATAATGAAATTATTATAGCAATCATTTTTATTTAATTTAAACTGCTTCCATTAAATGCCAGTCATTTTTCACCAAACAGATGAATTTAATAACAGCCAATAAATCAATTATTATGCATATGGAAATAGTTTCATCTCTATTTATAGCAACTTCTTTTTTAATTATTATTCTCCTCTCCAGATGACTCTCCTAAGGTGTTTATTATAGAGAGAGAATTTCCTTGCAAATGAGGGTTATAACTGAGGGTTATAATAAAAGTTCTCTTGTTTCAGATGCTAATTTACTAAAGTGAATGCTGGGTTTGATATACCTAAGTATGAAGTGTACTTTCTGAACTCATTTCTGAGAAACCATGTCCTTGATTATGCTTGGAACAACCGAAACTCACAATGCTTAAAACCTCCCACAATCCATTTGCGTGACTGTGACTTTGTCCATTGTAGTTCCTACGATTGTTTGCGTGATGATCCTTTTGACCATGACTGGCCTTCCCTTCCTCAACTGCCGGGACTCCACTATTCCATGAATGAGCAGTGCCGCTTTGATTTTGGTTTAGGCTACATGATGTGCACAGCTGTGAGTATTTAATCGAACTCTGCTGGCCCTTACCCAGGGCCTTTGAAAAGCATCCCCAAATAACTTTAAAAGGGAGCATCAGAAGATGGACAAAATGGCTGACGGGTATAGAACAAAGCTTACTGGCAATTTATGAGGTGTCTCGGAAAGTTGTGTAAACATCCTGTTTTCAAAAAACTGGAATGGTAATAATTATGATGCTATAATTTTATTAAAGGGTTTTGGAAATAGAAGATCTATGGAAAGAAGAGGCTTTGATTAGAATTAACTCCCAGAGTTCTGGGGATTGGTTGCATAAGGGTTTCTCTTCTGCCTTATGTAGGAGGGGATTAGATGCATGTACTCAATGACCTATCATGGTTATTTAGTGAGTGCAGCTGTCAATCCGTACATGTACTATCCAGCTTTTCCAAAAGCAGAAGACTTGATTTATCTATGTCCAGACTTCTTTGCCCCAAATCCTAAGAAATTTACAAAACAATAATTGGATAATTAAAGAGCCCCCCTCCCCCTTTAAAACAATTTGGAAGCTGCAATGCAAAAAGTGTCATAAATTTAAAACGTTTTTGAAATAACAGCCAGAAACTGAATAAAAAACAGCAAACTAAAATTACTACTAAAAAGAAAGACTCTTCAGATTCTGAAAGGTTATTAAATGCAAAGCAAGAAGGACTTCCATGGAAAGGCTGCCTAAGGCAAAGCTGGCCACCAAAGTCTTTTGCTAGAATGACTTAAACTTAGCACTATAGTATTTTCTTCTGGTTCAGGGGCTCTCTGAGGCTCTCTGTGGTATGTAAATAATTGAAACAGAGCTTCTTGTCCCCAACCCAATTCTGATCAACCAGGAAGACAACCTCTCCCAATTCTGGCATAGAATTAATCTGATTTTCCAGATTTTCCACTCTCCACAAAACATATGGCATGTGTGTGTACACAGACACAGAGAGACAGAGAGTATAATGTCTTCTGCTGAGAGAAAGTGACTAGCCATGGATTTTCCATGATCTGAGCAAAAGATCCTGTGTGATAAATAATCTTTGTTCCATTTGATCTTCTTCTTCTTTTTTGGATGGTCTAGATATTTGTATAATGCTACTATAACAGTCATGTCTAGTTTAAGCCTGTAGTTATCAGTAAAAAATTCTGTATCTTCAAAGCCATCAGTGTCTTCTTATCCTGATAAGGGTGATAAGTAGATAGATAAGTAGGTACCGGTAGATAAGAAACGTTTTCTAGACTGTTCAGCTCTCTCAAATTAGATAATGCATTTACAAAACTCATAAAACAAACTGATAGTAGAAACGAACTACAAAATTCACATGGAGTCCAACTAAAGAAGAGTTAGTTGGGAAAGTCCAACTCAAATAACAGCAAAACGGGAGCTGCTATCAGGATAATTGTAGATCTACGTTCCTTCCAGCATCCACTCTTTTCTCTGTTATAGTCATATACAGTCATAACTGTCCTCTATATTCAAGGGTAGTCTCTTAGTAATGTATTCTAATTTCCAACAGAAATTTAATTGCATAGAAGCTTTGAAAAAGCCATTTAGTAATATAAATACTTTTTTCTAGTTCCGCACCTTTGATCCTTGCAAGCAGCTGTGGTGCAGTCATCCTGATAATCCCTACTTCTGCAAAACAAAGAAAGGACCTCCATTGGATGGAACTATGTGTGCTCCTGGAAAGGTAAGAATCTTTGCCTCATGTCTCAGGTAGAAAAAGAAGAGAGAGAGAAAGAAAGTTTATTATCCTCTTCAGGTTTAATGGGAAGCTGTTTCCATCAGAAAGAGTTAAAAGATCAGGGAGTAAAAGGACAGAAGAGTTTTAAAATATTTGCCATAACTAAAGACCATAACTAAAAATATGGAGTGCAGGAAATTAGGAATTTAACTATTTAAAATGAAGGTTATGAACTCCCAGAAAAATTGGAAGAACATTTTTAAAAAGGGTTTGACCTTAGTTTACCAACCAACTATGTATGTAGCAGACAAAAATCTGTCTCTTGGTATGTCTAAAGCCCCATTCACCACTTTACAGATGCATAAAATCCTATCTGCTATGTTTTGCCTTATGCATAAAATATCAAAAATCCCATTCAGCTTTATCAGCCATTTTGCTTTTATGAATAGCCTTTCCTCATCATTAGTGCATTAAACCAAAGGAATTAAAGGGATGGTACTTGATCATTTCCCCAGTTTGCAACTCAGGTTGCATACTCCAGGTTGTACAAGCATTGAAGAATCTGTTGCTAGATCTGTTAGCTTTGCCAGGTAGACCAGACAGGAAAAAGGACCAGATATGCTAATTCTGCCTTATTGTAAAGTTACATTAACAAGATTTTGCATGTCTGAAAGTTCAATTTTCCCACTGTCTCCTTTATAGCCCAAAAAACTAGGGTGGATTCCTTCTTGAGCCTCTTGCCTCACCCACTGTCCAGCTGGGTACTATGTTTTTCTCTTATTTGACCATTTGTTAGACAGCAACTTTTCAACCCCTTTCCCAAGTTTTTTCTCACAATGTCATTATACTCCTGACTCAATGGGTAGATCTTATCTGGTTTTGCTTTCATCCAAATTCCTATCAGTTGAATTGTCTGCAAGTAAAGCGAGGATGAAATCCAGAAATCTGAGGATCTTCGGCTTTGAGGCAAATTTGGGGTTCCACTGGGGACAGCAAAAATGGAAATGATCCTTTTATTAAATAATTTAATAAGAGTATTCCAAATGCTTCTGAGCTCTATAGCAAAGCTTTATTCTTATTTTTTCCACAATACACCCATTAGCAGTCATGCAGATTAATAAAAGAGTCTCATGGTTTATTAAGATACTCAAGAAGAAGAAATAAATAGAAGTAATGAGGGTAATAAAAGCAAAAATAGCAATGCAGCGGTTCCTTTTGAGGGGAAATGTATTTATTGCTATTGTAGAGCACAAAATTGTTATTTCAGATAACAAGATTATGGCCATTTTCAAAAATATGCTGAAGACGAAACTATGAACATGCCAAAGAGAAAAATATACAGGAACAAATTTAAATTATCAGTATAAGATTACCAATCTCATCTTGGAGAACTTTTTAACATTTCACATATGTCATTTCTTACATGCCTGAGTGTTTGCATTTTTAATGATGTTATTAGCTGGTGAGTAAATGGAGGGATGGGAAGGAGAAAAGGGAAAACAAGAGAAGGAAGGATCCTTCAAGATGGAAAATGGTGCTCTCCTTGCAAGTGTACCTTTCATTTGATCCAAAGCACCTGTAAATTGGAAATATGTGTTGATAGATAAGCTTCATTCATTCCCTAGCTCAGTCAGAATGGGCTGGGGGAAAAGATCAAGCTACCTTTTGGAAAACAACACAGCCAACTTTGTTTTCCCTCTAGAGTAGGGGTGTCAAACTGGCAACTCATGGGCCAAATGCATTACATGTAGGCCATGCCCTTCCTGGCTCCGCAAAGGCAAAAAAGTCACAATATGTCATGTAACGCAATCGAGTTTGCCACCCATGTTCTGGAGGTAAACTTGCATTCATCTGGCTCCCCAGCTAATTCTTCCTACATGACTGTTTCCTAATATTATTTGATTGCTTATTGTACTCTATGACTATCATTCAGTGTTGTACCTTATGATTCTTGATGAATGTATCTTTTCTTTTATGTACACTGAGAGCATATGCACCAAGACAAATTCCTTGTGTGTCCAATCACACTTGGCCAACAAAGAATTCAAGTCTAGTCTAGTCTAGTCTAGTCTAGTCTAGTCTAGTCTAGTCTAGTCTAGTCTAGTCTAGTCTAGTCTACATTTATTCATCATTCTTTTCCTTCTCATTTATCGGATTCTGGCATTCTGGTTCCAGGAATAGCAAGAGTGGGAGAATCTGCCCTTTTTCTTATCTTGATTAATTCAGAGGGATCACCTTAAAAGTCCCATAGACATATAATAGATTAACTGAGTAAATCAAGCACTGCTTTATCCAAATGGAATCCACCTGTCTGATCTGAACATCTCCCAATGAGAATTCCTCATTCCCTCCCACCCAACTCTCTGTAAAAACAAAATGTGCATGTGACATTGCATAGGCAACAAGCCTTGTCTGTGGAAATCCTGACATTGTGGAACATACTTTTCCCACAAACACATTTGATCTCCGCCTTCCTTACATTTCTCATACTGGAAAAAACTATATTTATCCCAACATGATTTAGTTGATGGTAAATTTTTATGATTTGTTCTGGGTTAATTATATGAATTGTTCTCGGTTGTTATATGATTTATAAATCATATCAATGATTTAGTGGATTGTAGAATTTTTATGATTTGTTCTGGGTTGGAACCGAGTCTGTAATGACTGGGGCAGTCAGCAAATACTACTTATATAATACAAAATTACTGCTCAATATCAATATCAGTGCATTTTTCACATGTATCAGTTAAATAAATCCTGATGGAAATTAAATTATTCCGTATTTTTTAAGAGAAAGATTCCAACAATTGACATATAGAATGATATTTTCAGTGATGGTTTCTCCAGCCTTACCATTAGGCAGAAGGAAAGATAAATTGGGTATAGGCCCTGATCTTTGACCCTCTTGATTTGGATTTTCTGCTAGGAACAGGTCCTTTACTAAAGCAAAACACGCAGCTTTCTTAAGCAGCTTGTTACCTACTGAGAGCTCTGTATGATAATCATCACTTCAGTTTGAAGGTGGCTGCTGCAAACCCTGATTATTGCTGACACTTTTCAATACATCTCTCTGAGGGTGCTCTCAGAACGATCACTACAGGACCCCTAGTTGGATGTCTGTCAGATGAAAGGAAGTTCCCTGTGCTGCAGTTATTAGGGAAAGTGCACATGTATGGATGGAAACTGATCAAGGAGAGAAGTAACCTGGAATTAAGGAGAAACTTCCTAACAGTGAGCACCATTAACCAGTGGAATCACTTGCCATCAGAAGTTGTGGGTGCTTCATCACTGGAGGTTTTTAAGAAGAGACTGGACAGTCACTTTTCTGAAATGGTATAGGGTCTCCTGCTTGAGCAGGGGGTTGGACTAGAAGACCTCAAAGGTCTATTCTGATTGATTGACATAAAAAAGAATGTTGGATAGAAAGTGTTTATGAAAACAATGGAACCTTCTCTGTCCTCAGATGGTGGTCATCTTCAACCACTACAGAATGAAGGTTGTAGAGTCTGATAAGCTGGTACTTACTGGTATGCTTATGGAAGATGAACATATTTGTTTCTTTTGATGGTCCTATATCACTTTATGATCAGGAAAAAAAATTGCTTCTCAATAGCAATTCATGGAGAAAATGAATGTTGTATTCATATCTTGCTTTTGGATGTCGCATTGGCCCAATCACTTTAGAAAGACCATGCTAGACTCTGAGGGCTTTCTAGTTTTTAAGTCTTACCAAATGATAAATTGCTACCCAGTAAATGGCTCTTTGCATCTATTGGTGTTCAGGAATCAAAATGCATTTTAATGTGGGATGTGTTCAAGGCCTTTAATCAATTCCATTCTATGTAGTAAAAAATATTTTATTAATAATGTAATAATGGGTAGATCAGGGCAGGGTGACGAGGAACAGTCTTGAGAATGTTATCTGTGAGGAGTTTGATGCTGTGACTCCCGATGATGTGGACAGGATTTTGGGGAGACTTAGTGCGGCCACATGTTTACTGGACCCGTGTCCCTCCTGGTTGGTACTGGCTTCCCGGGAGGTTACACGAGGCTGGCTCCAGGGCATTATTAATGCTTCGTTGAGTGAGGGTCACTTCCCCGCTGCCCTGAAAGAGGCGGTGGTGAGGCCTCTCCTCAAGAAGCCGTCCCTGGATCCGGCAATATTGGCTAACTATCGTCCTGTCTCCAACCTTCGCTTTATTGCGAAGGTTGTTGAGAGTGTGGTCGCGCGACAGTTTCCACAATTCCTGGAGGAAACATCTTATCTAGATCCGTTCCAGTCGGGTTTCAGGTCTGGGCACAGCACGGAAACGGCATTGGTCACGTTGGTTGATGATCTCTGGAGGGCTCGGGACAGGGGTTGTTCGTCTGTTCTGGTCCTGTTAGATCTCTCAGCGGCTTTTGATACCATCGACCATGGTATCATGCTGCACCAGCTGGAAGAGTTGGGGGTGGGAGGCACTGTGTTGCGGTGGTTCTCCTCCTTTCTCTCCGACCGGTCGCAGTTTGTGTTGGCAGGGGGGCAGAAGTCGGCCTCGAGGCCTCTCATCTGTGGAGTGCCGCAGGGATCGGTCCTCTCGCCCCTTCTGTTCAACATTTATGTGAAGCCGCTGAGTGAGATCATCTGTGGCTTCGGGGTGAGATACCATCAGTACGCTGATGACACCCAGCTGTACATCTCTACCCCAGGCCACCCCAACAATGCCCTTGAAGTGATGTCCCAGTGCCTGGAGGCTGTGCGGATCTGGATGGGAGGAACAGGCTCAAACTCAACCCTTCCAAGACTGAGTGGCTGTGGCTCCCGGCATCCCAATATAGTCAGTTGACTCCATCACTGACTATTGGGGGTGAGTCTTTGGGCCCCACTGAAAGGGCTCACAATCTGGGAGTCCTCCTGGATAGGCAGCTGTCTTTGGAGGAACATCTGACGGCTGTTACCAGGGGGACCTTCTGTCAGGTTCGCCTGATTCGCCAGTTGCTGCCCTTTCTCGATTGGGATTCCT